TTATATATATATATATATATATATATATATATATATATATATATATATATATATATATATATATATATATATATATTGCACATTACAATCTCTACTGGTCGAATTATTCATATCCTATGAACTACAAGTAAGCAATCGGTGTTGTGAGTCCATCTATACTTGCATGTACTATTTTGAAGCGTATAAATTGCTTTTAAGTGCGTAGGAGTTGAAGTACTGGCAGTCTTTTGTTTTCAAAACCGCTATATTATATGCCCACGATCTATCATCGCTAGTATAAAAGTCACCGTTTAATAGCCAACAAAAGCAGTTTGAAGGTCGCGAAATTGGATCTACACGCGAACGTACTACTACTACAATGCTTTCACTTGGCTGTGAGTGTGTATGGTATTTCAAGGGGCTGATAGCCTTTCGCGACTACGGCAGCGGTGTATTATCCTATGTACACCTTACAATTCATAGTTACTATTGAGGCTTTACATATTGCAGTATATACAAATGCTCGAAGCGGTGACGCAAGCTCATCTACACGCCTATATATTATTACGACGAGTGCAAATGGCTGTGTTGTTAGTGTATATGGTACATGTTTTAAATATAGACATTTTTAACCACATCAGCAGCGTAATCTTTTACGCACAGCTCATGACCCATAGGTTGCTAATGTGGAACAAAGGACTATGTGAATTATTCGGTGGTGTGGAAGAACTATACACACATACGCTACGCACTACAACAAAGCGGTTGAGGCTGTTGTTGGGGCGTACGGTTAACGGTACCCTATAGGACGTACATACATGCACATAAAATTACTGTTGTATAGCTGGCCCGTTATGTACAGTAGTTCGAGTCGAAGGTTGCGGGCATATGTATAATATTTGTGTATATCCACATGTACACACCAAATTATATATTTATGTGTGGCTATGAAGTAGAAATCATAGCCTCCTAAAAAAAGAACACAGAAACATTCATAGCCCCCCATAGCCTTTGAAAATCAAACAACAGCCCTCTACTGAAAAAATGAATAGAAAACCCTAAACCCTGCTCGTCCTATTGACCAGTCCCGACCCCTAGTAACTATCATTACAGATTTTGCTTTTTTTCTCAATCGCGCAGTCATAACTTTAAATATGTTTACATTCTTCACCTTATAAAATATATCGCTCGGATTGACGACAATATAAACAACTCGGACACACCGACAGACACTGAAAGGGATGTATATATATATATATCATATATGTTATGACTAAACCCAGACGGCACTCCAGGCATGAGCGCCGTTATGGGATCTTTAATATCAACACCGAGGCTGTTTCGGGGGCAGACTACTATGGCTTCCTGGAGGTCCAGCACATGACAGGATACTGGTACAAGTTCTGGTTCACGCTGAAGGGGTCACAGCTTAGTTACTATGAGAGAAAGAGTATCCAGCACCCTAGAGGTGTATTTGTAGCGAATATAGACTTGTTCAGCGCACAAATTTCGATTTTGGTATGTGACCCATGGTTTGCTACATGGCCGCATCAAGCGCAGGGGCTTCGCATTTGCGTAATCTAATACATCTTATTATATGATTTAACCCGCTCTGTGTCTATAGTTTACAATCAGTATATACGTCTAGGTTTGAGACTGTCTTATGTCGGTGG